GGAACACTCACCCACTGCTGGTGGGAGTGCAAACTTGTACAGCCACTATGGCAGTGAATGTGGGAGTTCCTCGAGAAGCTGGGAATTGATCCATCTATACGATTCGTGGGCATACACCCACAGGACTCTTTGTCCTACCATAGAGTCACTTGCTCAACCATGCTCATTGCTGCTCTATTCATAACAGCCAAAAATTGGAAGCTGAGATGTCTGTCCCTCAACAGAAGAATGGATAGAGAAAACATGGTACATTTATACAATGGAATATTGCTCAGACATTTAAAAAAAATTACACCATTTAATTTGCTGGTAAGTGGATAGAACTAGAAAAAATAATTCTGAGTGTGGTATCCCAAACCCAGAGACACAAATATAGTATGTGTCCACTTATATAGAGATATTAGCTGTTAAGTCGACGATAACCAAGCTACAATCCACAGAACCATAGAGGCTAGGTATAGGTATAGATAGATCTGATTAGGACAGGGAAATAGAATATATAGTTATGGATGGATAGGGCAGACTGAAATGGGAGCATCAAGTGGGAATGGGAAAGGGAAATGGGAAGAGGGAGGGAATATAGGAAGAGACAGCTAAAATTAAGGGGCATTTGAGGGGTAGTATGGAAAACAATACAGTAAAATCTTCCTAAAATATATACATTTTTGAAGGTGATCTAAATGAAATTGCCAAATAATGGGGTAGACAGAGTCCCAAATGACCATCTCTTGTCACCAAATGAAGCTACCAGTACTGGAACTGGGTTACATTTAATTGTGTGATTGGCCAAAGGGGTTCCATAGGAATCCCCAAACAACCTAGGCTGTTGCCAAGAATATAGGTTGTTCTCCACAAACTGACAGCAAGGCCCCATTGCTAAAGACAACAACTAGACAACTCATTGAATATGGAGAATTCAAGCATGTGCCTACACAGAGCCTTCAACCCTACATTCTACCATCTTTGGTACAAGAAGGAATTGTAAACACCAACTCAGCTACAAACCCTTTGATCTACAATAGTGTACTGCTTGCAAGAAATGCTAGTACAATAGCAAGCCTGTGACAGTGGGAGTAACCAACCAATATCTGATTTGACTTATGGCCCACTCCACACAATGGAGCCCATACCAATACTGTTTGGGTAACCAAGAACCTGTGATTAAATAGCCCAGAGACCTAGGGTAAAACTAAACAGTTCTGTTCTAAAAAGAAAAAAAAAAGTAGCAATAAAATGAATCCTGATGACATTCTGCTATACTCATAGTTCAGTGCCTTGCTCAACCATCAGCAGAGAAGCTTTCTCCTGCAGCAGATGGGAACAAATACAAAGACCCACAGCCAGACATTATGTGGTGAGTGAGAGGCCTTGGAACACTCAGCCCTAACAGGATGTCTCCAACAAACACCTCCCCACCAGGGTTCAGGGAACCCAGGAGAAAAGGAGACAGAAAAGGTGTAAGAACCAGAGTGAATGGAGGACATCAAGAAAACAAGGCCCTCTGAATGAATAAACATGAAAAAGCTCATGAGAACTCACAGAGACTGAGGCAGCAGCATGCATAAGGGTCTGCACCACATGGGGTCTTAGAGCTGAAAGGAGAAGTGGACAGATGCCCTCATCCCTAACCCAGAAGCTGTCTCCAATTGATGACCACTTGCAAATACAAATTTAGTTTCCTCCAAGAGTGTCTCACTGGGGAAACAAACTACTCGGAAGGGTAGGCTGCATGCCCAGCAGTAGATAGGCAAAAGAAAACTAACTCAATGGCATCTCTAATATTCCTTTCTCATAATGTTGTGTCAGGGCTTTGCCTTTTTTTTTTAATCTTATTATTGTTTATCTTTACTTTATCTATATTTTCCTTCTCCCTTTTTACTGCACAGGTCCTTTGCATATACATTATGGCTTCCAGGTTAATGTTTTTATGGGATTCTTGACTGTGCCAACAAGTGGGTCTCTGTTTCTTTATCTTCTCTTGGGCTCTTTTCCTGTTTGTTTCTTTTGTCCTATTCTTATGTGTTCGTTTTTTGCTTGTTTTGTCTCCTTGTATTTTATTTTATTTCATCTTATTTTATTTTATTATTATTCCTTAGAAGCCTGTTTGTTTTCTACTGAAAGACAGAAAGGGGACAGATCTGAATGGAGGAGAGGTGGGGAGGAGCTGGGAAAGGGAGAGGGAGAGGAAACTGTATCAGGAATATAGTATGCAAGAAAAAATACATATTTTCAATAAAAGGAAGGGAGAAGTGGTTTAGAAGCTAGTTTTGTTGGTGAGGAGAATGGCATTAGGCTCTAGGAAGAAAGTTCAATCCTGTCAAAATGAGTTGAAGGAACTAGGCATGGTGGTGCACAACTGCTGTGGAATATTCCTACACTGTGTGAATATATGTCACTGTGATTGGTTTAAAAAACAAGCTGATAGGCCAATAGCTGAACAGAGTACAGTCAGGCAGGAAAGCCAAACTAAGAATGACGGGATGAGGAAAGGCAGATTTTGAAGTCACCAGCCAGATACAAAGGGAGCAGGAGATGAATGTGCCATGTTAATAAAGGTACCACCATGTGGCAGAGTATAAATAAGGAATATGGGATAACTTAAAATATAAGAGCTAGTTTGTAATAAGCCTGAGCTATTGGCTGAGCATTTACAATTAATATAAGCCTCAGAGTGGTTATTTGGGACAAGGCAGTCAGGACAGGAACTTCCCCTTACACACACATTTAATCCCAGCACTCAGGAGGCAGAGGCAGACAGTTCTCTGAGTTCAAGGCCAGCCTGGTCTACAGATAGTCCAGGGCAGCCAGGACTAACAGGAGAAAATCTGACTCCTAAAACAAAATAAACAAGTAAATAGTTGAAGGATACAGCCTGACCAAAGAGAAGGTTACATCACAGGGTCTATCCAGGACAACAGAATTAACTTTGCCCTGCAAGCCAGGACTCAACAATTTTCTGAAGCTCCAAGGCCATTTGTATGAAAACAGTGTGGCTGAAAATCAGGAAAACCCCACACACACAGTGCAGGGCCTCCCATCCCTAGACCCTGAGGGTACCCATCCCTAGGCCCTGAGGGTACCTATCCCTGAGCCCTGAGGGTACCCATCCCTAGGCCCTGAGAGTACCCATCACCAAGCCCTGAAGGTACCCATCACTGAATGTTTCAGTCGGCATCCACTCTCCATGCTTTATGGGACTCAATGTACCTAGACTTCACTGTAGCCCTTGAGGAAGAACAACCTGTGCTATCCTGGACCAGAAGAGTTGTCTTCACTTCTAGGAAACAGGATAGTCAAGAGAGGAGCAGGAAAGGAGGCAGGCACTGCACAGGTGAAAGAGCACAAAGCTCAGCCAACAGAGACATGGGACAGCTGAGCCATCTAAGACCTACAATAGCAGCTGCATAGATGTGAGGAGTGAACATGAACAGTGATGTGTGGTCCAGCTCATCTTCTAGGATAGAATACAATACCTCACATGTGAGGATGCTGCTCTCTCTGAGCAGACCTTGGCTGGGCAGAAGTGCCTTGTGCTATTACCCCTTCCTGTAAGCAGTGGGCATCCAGCATGGATATGGAGGCATGAAGACCTAGAACCTCGCCATACCCACTGATGGGCCACCAGGGAGAGACACCCAAGCTACCAATGAGAACTATATCCCCACAGGTGACCTGTACCCAGTTACTGTCAGGGAAGCAATGAGAAAGTCCTAACCCATGGAACTGTGAGGTAGACCTGCAGGGCCATCCTAGATTGAGCTCTCGTGTATGGCAGTCTCTGCTGGGTTGCACCAAGTCCACACTTCTGCCATCTTGCTACTTTCTCCTCTCTTTGTGACTTGAGTCCTTCTAATGAACTCCCTGTACATCAAACCCACAACAGAGACACCTTTCTGCACACCAACCCCAAAGCAGGGTCACTATCTAGCACACCAACCCCACAGTAGGGGGCATCTTCCCAAGAAACCAACAGGGCCCCAGGTCAACAGGGGCTGAGGATACATGTGGAAAGGGGAAGCCACCAAGCCCATCTCCTGACACCATGACTCTCTGGGGTCTGGGGAACACCATGCTGAGTTACCTCACAAGCTGCAAAATGAACATACCTAGGCTAAAATACACAGATGATGACTGCACTCCAGAAATGAGGCAACGCCCAGTAACAGTGACAAGAGATACTTGGGGAGAAAGCTTGACAAAGGCAACTTGGGAAGGTAGGTGGATGCAGTGGCCCACAGAATAGCATGACAACCTCACCTGTGGTTCTGGGAGCCAGACAGAAGGTTCCTAGGAGGCAGCAGTGACCAGAAGGTCACAAAGGGGCTACCAATCTCTATTTGTTCCATTTCTGTCCAGATGCCAGTTATAGGGCTAGGCAAGCAGTGAGAATCCACACAGCTGTGATCTAAGGACTTGCATAGCTCCCCACACAAACACCACATGTTGGCACTCACATTTTACCCAATGTCCCCCAAGGACAAGGAGCCTACTACAGTTTGAATGCAAAACATACCTATAGGGACTAAGTTGGGATACTGTAAAACCTTTGGAAGATGAGGATCACTGGAGGAGTAGGCCTTGGGATACGTAGCCTGATTCTACTTCCTGCCCTGTGGAGATGTGTGGAGGTGAGGCATGACAGCTCTACTGCCACCCCATAGTCTCTGCCACCATTTCTTCCCAGCTATGATGGACTGTATCAGCTCATACCATGAGCGCCCCCTTAAGTTGTTTCATGTCAGGCATTTGGTCCCAAGACAAGGAAAGTAACAAACACAAAGCCTGGGCTGGAGGCTAAGAAGTGGGAGGACCTGCTGAACAGAGGGATAAAGAGGTATAAAACCAATAGGAGGGGTATGGGTAAGCAAGAGGAAGCATGGGATGAATGGCTAAGGGTAGAAACAGGTACCCACCAGCAGCAAAGAGCTGGAAATGAAGACCAGCCACAACCCAACCCACACCCAAGGATCCCTGGAAAGAAAATATACGGATTCACTCACCCTGATCGGACAGGAAGTCCAGCATGGTCTGCAAAAGAAAAGAGAGGTGCCGCACAGACAGAGCAGGGTTTCCCATCCTTCGGGAGGCATAGACCAGCTCATGCAGCAGACGCATCTGGACGGCAGCCCAGCCTCGGTGTGTGCCTGTGGTAAAGATCACAAGGCAGGTACTCAAGGTCATGTGTAAAATGTGGCAGCTCACCAACAACAACCTCAGTGATCAAACTCAAACAGTCAAAACAATTACCATCACAACCACCACTACCTCTACCCTCCCCGAAACCTCTACAACCATCACCCTTCCACCCACCACTGTCCCCATCCCAAGGTATGATGTTGCCAGAGAAGAACATTGTTAATACATTAAGAATGTCTCTTCCTGGGGACAGAGCTCAGTGGTAGAACACTTTCCTAACAAGAGCAAGGCCCCAGGCTACAACCCCAGTATAGAAAGAAGTAAAAACAAAACAAATACTTTCTTTCTCTCTTCTATGAAGACATCCCATTAAAGTAACCCTGGTAAGCAGTTAAGAGCAGCAAGCACTCTTAACTGCTGGGCCATGTCTCCAACCCCCTGATGACATTCCCATAGATGTCTGCTTTAGCTGATCTTCTCCCTACCCTGCTCCTCTCCCCCAGCTCCCTGCCTGCCCTCCCCACTTATATGTTCCAGCCCCAGTACCCCACTGTCCATGTCACACATGTGTTCTGTTACCCCCTACTTCCTAAAAGCCCCCTTTTCCCCTTTCATGGACCTCTGTAGTTCCCTGAACTCTATCCACACAGGCACACACATGTAAAAAGTTAAAAGGTAGGATCAACATACGAAAAAGAAAATATATTGTGTGTCTTTTGCGCCTGAGTTACTTCATTTAATATTTTCCAAGTCCAGCCATTTCCTGGCAAATGACATAATTGTATCATTCTTTATGGCTGAACAGAACTCCACTGTGTGTATGTACTGTCTTTTCAGTATCTATTCAAGTGATGAGGATCTGGACTGGTCCATTTCTTTGATATTGGGAACAGAGCAGCAGATGCACAGGCAACTCCGTGTTAAGATAGTTTATGTATATGGCAGGAGAGACAAATCTGGGTTATATATTAGTTCCATTTTTAATTTTTTTTAAAACACCCTACACTGATTTCCATAGTGGCTGCACCAATTTATATTCCCACCAAAGGGTTCCTCTTCTGCTACATCCTCCCCAGCACTTATTGTCATTTGTTGCCTTGATGGAAGCCTTTCTTGAGTGGTGCAAAATGGAGTACCAAAGTGTTTTTCACTTGCGTCTCCCTTCTGAATAGGGATGTTGAACACTTTTCAAAATACTTATTGGCCATTTGTGTTCCTCCTTTTAACCACTATGCTCAGTTCATCAGCCCATTTTCTGGCTGGCTGTTTGGGTTTGCTTTTTAATTTCTGAGACACCTTGTACATTTCATATCTTAACCCCTGTCTAAAGCATAGCTGTAAAAGATTTTCTCCCATTCTGTAGACTGTGTGTTCACCTTGATTTCAGTTTTGTTTGCTACATACACCATCCATTTGCTAACTCTTGGGATAACTCCCTATGAGTTGGGGTTCTATTCACAAAGGTCTTGCTTATAGATATATCTTAATATATTTTTCCTATGTTCTCTCCTAGCAGTCCCAATGTTTCAAGTTTCGAGGCATTTCATCCACTAAGAATTAATTTTTGTGACTCTATCTAATCTGACTCTTCTGTAAGTGGCTACCAAGTATGGTTTGTTGAATGGCCTTTTCTTCATTGTATGTGTTTGACACCTCCGTCAAAAATTAGATGCCTATGGCTGTGTAGGTTTGCTTCTGGGTTCTCTATTATGCTCCACTGGTCTACATGTCTGTGTTTGGGCAGCACCATGCTGTCTTCATCGCTATGGCTCTGTAGTAAAGTTTGAATTCAGATATTGTGACACCAGTATTCTTTTTGCTTAATGGTTTTTTAATGGTTCTTTTTTCTACTTCTGTAAAGAATGCTACTGGAATTTTGATGGAATCAGCACTGAATCTATAGATACTTCAATGTATAGGCTGAACTTGCCCTCTATATCCAAATGTGATTTCAGCACCTAAAAGAAGGTCAGGCCTCTGAGCCTTAATACCCCTACCTAATAACTGTCATCACCAGACTAGTGAGCCAAGACTCGGGTCATAAAAACACACATAGGGGGATTCAGGCTCAGACATGAGAACATACATAGGGGGATTCAGGTTCAGACATGAAAACACACATGGGGGATTCAGGCTCAGACAAAAGTGATGCTGGATGGAAACTTCCAACAGCTCACCAGAGTTGCAGTTAGCACACATTTACAGAGAACCTAATACACAAACACATGAAAGAGACTTAAGGGGATAGAGTACCTCCCCTTATGGGGTATACATTCTGTAAGGATAACCCTGTAGGAGGCACAGTTGCTGCTGAATGCTATGGGGACAGTGGAGGGGGAGTGAATGTGCCATATGAGCTGGGGCAGACAGGGGAGGAAGTAGTACAGGAAAACAATAGTCCTACTTGTCACAAAGCTGCAAGCAGCCCATTTAAAGTGCTTTAGCCATTTATCCTAACTTCTCAATAAATGCTAGCTGATAAATGCTAATATTATGACTCAATGAATATAATGTGTTTAACACATAGCATCAGCCTCTGACTCTGTGGGATGATTAATGATCCAGCCTGCTCCATTATTGCATTGAGAACAAACCCTTGATATACCAGATCTCTCCTGCTGTGGTTATAGGGTAAAATTACCTACGTATATGTCAACCCCCACTCCCACTCTGGCATCATGAGTCCCTGCACATGAAGACTGTCTGGGGCTTATTATAATACCCCAGAACAGAGGCTTCTGTATAATCAGACATTCGGTCAACATCAACTACAATTGGAGCAAGTAGACTCCTCTGTCTACTACCTAGAGAGCATGGACCACTGCCTCATGCATCCTAACCTCAGCCAGTTTGACTAAGATGTTCCATGCAACTCATGGCCCCTGCTGATTTCATCTCCCACAACCCTGCCCTGCACAGCCACCTACTCCCTCTTCGGCATGTGCTCAGCAGCAGGCACAGACTTCGGCTGATAACAGGCACAGTAGGGCCCATGTAAGCTCATGATTCTGTTTCCTCCATCAATTCCTCATTGCCTTGTCAGCAGCAATATGCCTTATTCATCTAAGGATCCTTAATGCCTGGCAGGAGGCCTGGTGCACAGTGAGTACTTAACTAGCATGTGGGTCAAGATGAGAGCCTGATGCCAGAAAATTCACCTTCATTTTAGATGTGCATACTCAAGTATGTGAGGGTGAGATGGCGTGGCTCCGGATATTTGCTGGGTGGAGGGTTCACTTTGGCTGTTTTCTCTAGTTTCTGTGTATTTAGGATACTTCATAATAAAATATCAGTTGAAAACCTGGAAGCCAACCCAACACTAACACAAATACCTCCACGGTATATCCCAGGATGCAACATATCTTCCAGAAACTTCCTGGAATATACATTGGTAACATCGTGCATCAATAAGAAAAGCAGCAAATGAGACACATCCTTGACATGTTTCCTTCTGGTGAAAGGGTCTAGGGACACACACTGAAACAGAGGAGAACTTTAGGAGGATTAAGAGTCCAAGTCATGAAAATGATGATTGGAGCTTGAGTGGTTTGCTGATTAGCATTTCCATGTTACCAGGACCTGACAACATCCTGGTTGCTATGGGGGAGCAGGGGGGGAGTCCAAGTCATGACTAAGCTAGCCACACCTTCAAAAGTCTCAGCACTGCCAAACCAAGAGCTCCTTCTCATGCAGGAAATCAGTGAACATCACTTGATTATTTTTTTCCAAATGGGTAATGTTCCGGTTACTACCATGAGTAGATGTGAGTGAGAGCCAGAACAAAGCCCTGCGCTCATGGCACCTCCTCTGTGGGTCACAGTCCACACGCATGCACACATGGCGCCTCTTCTGTGGATCAGAGTCCTCCTATAAAACACTGAAGCTTTTGTATAGACAGATTTGCAGCATTTGACTCCTGACAAAACTCTGTGATCTTGTCATTGAGGTTCAACAATTCAGGCTTTGATTGACAGCTGCCATTTAGCAAATCATTCCTCATCTCTTTCAGAAAAGTTCCTCAGCAATATGTAATCTCTCGTTCAGCAAAAGGCTGAGCAAAATGCAAAACAGAGAAATCTTCTCACACAGCAGCACAAATAAGATTAAGATGAAGATGTGGTTCTGTAAGCCAGCAGATACACAGAGCATATGAGCTGGGTCCTAACTTGAGCCCCTGCAGCCAGCTGGCGAACAAACACTCGCCTCACAAACAAGACCCAAGACATTTCCAGACCTAGAGATCCAAGAGCCTAGCTTTTATTCACAAGTATGGGGTTTTGGTAGATTTCCATTTAATTCTCTGAAAAACGTTTGAAGTGGAGGTGGAGCTTAAAATGGTTTTTATTGTCTAGAAATGCAGCCGGCTGACATTTACCGTTTTAATTCTATTGGGCCTCACTTCTTTCATGAAATAATGACCTATGTCCCCTCCAAAAACAAAAATCCAAGTAAAAAGGACAGAATCACTTGGATTTTTCAAAAGAAATATGTTCCACTCTTAAGATTTGCAAACAAAGAGCAAAGAACAAATTCAATAACTAGACACAGGTACTGTGATGATTGCAGGGCTGGGTCCAGTCCTTTATCACAGGTGTTTACATGAACACCTCCAATGGGATGAAAAGGACAAAGGGGCCAGTACCGTGGGTCTGGCAGGAAGCTAGGGAGGTACTGTTAGGTAATCCACCCACAAGAAGTGCCAGAGGAGGAACAGTGGGCATTCAGAGAACAAAGAAACAAAGGGATTCCATCTCCAAGGAAGCAATGTTGTAGTCTCAGAGGAAACAGCATGCAGCTAATGTGCTGGAGGGTGACTGGGAAGCCTGGCAGATGAGGAGAAGAGTTGTGCATCCGTGGGAAAAGAACTTCAGCCTGTTCTCAGACAGGTCATGTACAGAGAGACAAATTTAAGGCAACTCTTAAGTGTGGCTTTGTATAAAAGTCCTAGTGCTTTTGGCCTGAAGCCAGCCTGGAATAAAGTTCAAATGTGCCAAGGGAAATAACAGAA